AAACAACAGAGATGCCTGCGATATGATAGATGAACTAGAAACGGTATTTTCAGCTCCTTTAAATGAGTTTGTTGCAGCTAGTAATTGCATTTTATTCTGACATTTATCACTAGGAAGAACAAACTGTATTGCATGGGGTAGAATCACAGAGTGGTTTGGGTTGGAAGGGACCTTTAAAGGTCACCTAGTCCAAATCCCCCCTGCAATGAGCAGGGACATCTTCAACTCCATCAGGTTGCTCAGAGCCCCGTCCAACCCGACCTGGAATGTTTCCAGGGATGGGGTATCGACCACCTCTCTGGGCAACCTGAGCCAGTGTCTTACCACCCTCAGCATAAAAAAATTCTCCCTTATATCTAGTCTAAATCTTCCCTCTTTTAGTTTAAAGCCATTATCCCTTGTCCTATCACTACAGGCCCTATTAAAAAGTTTATCCCCATCTTTCTTGTAAGCCCCCTTTAAGTACTGGAAGGCTGCTATAAGGTCTCCTCAGAGTCGTCTTTTCTCTGGGGCTGAACAGCCCCAACTCTCTCAGCCTCTCCTCACAGCAGAGGGGCTCCAGCCCTCGGATCATCTTCATGGCTCTCCTCTGGACCCGCTCCAACAGGTCCCTGTCTTTCCTGTGCTGAGGGCCCCAGAGTGCTATGAGTGCAACGTTGTTGGCTCACGTCCAGCTTTTCATCCACCAGTACCCCCAAGTCCTTCCTGGCAGGACTGCTCTCCATCCCTTCATCCCCCAACCTGTATTGATACTGGGGGTTGCCCCAGCCCAGGTGCAAGACCCTGCACTTGGCCTTGTTGAACCTCACGAGGTTCACACAGGCCCACTTCTCAAGCCTCTCCAGGGCCCTCTGGATGGCATCCCATCCCTCAGGCATGTCAGCTTCACCACTCAGCTTGGTGTCATCCACAAACTTGCTGAGGGTGAGCTTGATCCCACTGTCTGTCATTGATGAAGATATTGAACAGTACTGGTCCCAGTATGGACCCCTGAAAGGCACCACTTGTCTCCTTTTCTGGCTGACATACCTGTAGAAACCCTTATTATTCTTTGCATCCCTCACCAAGTTCAGCTCCAGCCGTATCTTGGCCTTCCTGACCCCATCCCTATACAACCGGGCAGCGTCCCTGTACTCTTTCCGAGGATACCTGTGCATTTTCTTCTTGCCCTTTAGTTTGACCAGCAGGTCTCTAACTCTTACCATAGGGTTTCAACCATGGCTATCCTTCGGAGACAGCTCTTCACACTCTATCCATTTCCTGAGGTAGAGGGCAACACCCCCACCCCTCCTCCCTCGCCTGTCCCTTCTGAACAGCCTGCAGCCATCCATAGCCGCACTCCAGTCATGGGATTTGTCCCACCAGGTTTCAGTAACGGCAACTAGGTCATAGCTTTCAAGCAGCACAGTGGCTTCCAGCTCCTCCTGCTTGTTGCCCATGCTGCACGCATTGGTGCAGACGCACCTCAGCTGGGCTGCTGGACCTGTCACCTTCTTAGAGGAACATCCCTCAATTCCTTTGGGGTATTTCACTGGCGTATCCCTCTTGGCTCCTATTACCTCAGCAGCTCCCGGCTCATTTCTGTAAGGTTTCAAGTGTGCTGCAGCGTAGCCAGCAGGTCTCAGAGCAACAGGCTGAGGGCCCTCACTAGCACCCTGTCCCTCTAACCTCGGCCTGTCATCCCACAGCTTGTCACAGGCAAGCCTGATATTATCCCTCCTCCCTCTTCAAACCTAGTTTAAGGGTTTGTCAATGAGCTTGTGAGCAAAGACCCTCTTCCCCCTTTCAGAAAGGTGAATCCCATCTGACCCCAGAAGTCTGGTGCCACGTGGGCCATCCCATGACTGAAAACCCCAAAACTGTGGCTGTGACACCAGCCACGGAGGGAGCTGTGTATTAACAGACTGGGTGCGCCTGTTTAGTACCTAACTTGGCAGACCAACGACCTTACTGAAACATCAACTCCATACTGCTGCCATCAAGCTGCTTTTGGAACTTAGTGATGGCAGAATAAAGTTGAAAATGTCTAGTTTAAATGGAGATGGGCAAACCAAAGGTACAATTATATACATGTCACACCAACTCTGGCCTGCAGTTCAAGGGGTTAAAATGGAAGCTTCAAGACTCTCAGTGCAGTGACTCCTGTAGAAGTCAGATGTTACAGAGTAAAACGTTGGGGGCAACAGCACACACATTTTGATACTAGCGTAACCGCAGATGTGTACATACCTGGAATAACTCACAGTCAGAGGATGCCACAGTCAAACTGGAATTTGGGTAGCTGTGTACAGCCTATATAAAATCTTACTCAATTACCGTTCTTTATGTGAAGCTTGTATACTGTTGAGACAGATCGATTAACTGCACCACTTCGCAAAAGGGAAAAATGAACTTGAGAAATGCAGTCACTCAAGTGTGATCATACTGTCAGCTGTAGAGATAGTGAGGTGCTCCCGGATGTCAAATAGGTGCCATTATTTCAGGAAAGCATTTTTGAGAGACAAACTTTGGTATGCAACAGTATAATGCCAGAAAAATGCACGTTACATTTTGTTGTTGGTTTTTTCCCCCCCCTTTCAGACAACACTTGAGTGTTTCCAAATGGTTAACTTTACTATGCATCATCTCCTCCCTTCCATTGATTAAAGAGAAAACTGATAGACTTCCCTTGCGTAACATGTAAAAATTCCACAAAAGCAACCCAGAACAGTAAAAGAAAACCAGCTCATTCTGTTCCACTTCTTTCTTAAGCTACACAACCTGATCAGATTTGAAGAATTAAAAAGCCATTAGAGCTGGGTAAGAGGTAATCTGACCTCTTATATGCTAAAATGGAATATATTTTTCTAATGAAATATTTAACATGGTGCAAGGAAACTCAGCCAGATGTTATTTTAAGTTACCCAAACTGATTTATTGACAATTTAAATGTGACATATTTACAGCACTGTTTCTAAAATAATTTAACCATTTTCATAGATTTATAAAAGTACTGATAAATAGGAGACCCTGACAATTACCAACCACAAATATTTCCCTATGCTACTGAACTACAACAGTAGTTCTTTTCTTTTTTCTTTTTTTTTTTCCTCTTTTTTCCTCTTTTTATAAGTCCCATAATGGAGCTGCTTTACCTCCACCCAATGTGTAAAATTGCCAATACCAAAATATAATAAAATGAACATGCAGTGTGAAAGCTGTACCAGAGAAGTGATTTCAGATATTAGACTACAGTAAAAATATTTCAATGCAAAGTGTCTTCCACACAGAATGTACTTGTGAAAAAATAAGCTTTTAAAGAGCTACTGTATTATCTTTATAGAAGTTAAAACCTACAATACTAGTTCAGAAATTTACAGTAACTTCCAATTCTGTGTTACTTTCACATATATCTAAAGAGTCAAACAAAACCAGTAATTTACAAACACCACTGCCTTAAGGCAGCAGTTAGTTAGCTTATGGATAAAATAAAAAAAAAAAAAAGAAGGTGCTGATATAATTGAAGGTTTTGGAATTAGATTATATTTCATTCTTATGACACCAATTATTCTATCCTTGGATCAACAAATTATTGTGGTAAAGCCATCCATATCTCTCAAGCAGGAAGTCCGTTTGGAAGTCGGAGAGAAGATGGACTTGTATGGTATGTATCTTAGGTTCCAGTAGACAAAAAAAAAAAGTATCACAAAGCTGGACAATCTGAATCACAATAAGCAGCAGCATGAGATATTTGTGGGGTTTTGATTAAAGCAAACATTTTTCAAAAATGATGAAAAGTACACAAAACTTAATCCAATACTTGAAATGTAAAGGTTCTTTTCATTTGCATCACTGAAGCCCCATAACACAGTGTACACAAACAACGAATACTCATTTTTTTAAAAACATATTGCACAGCTAGTAGGTGCAATACCAGAACACTGGTATCCCTAGCATAAGTTTTCTATTTTAAATAGCTGTTTCGAACTACGCCATTCAGAGCAACCCCAAGCCAACGTTCAAAACCATTAAAAATGGTTTGTGTACATAACTAATCCAAAAGTGTTTCAACAATGTGAGAAAAAACACAGGCACTTACGATTATTAGTGCACCAAAAGTTATAGGCCACAATTGCATGACTATGAACAGTTCAGTACCAATAATGACAAAACTAAATGAGGAGGTCTTCCACTGATCAATACAGAAACAAGAACTGTTCACAAAGCACTGATAAGAGAAAACCATTCTCAAAACAGTAATCAAATGATATGTTTAGACATTTAAGAAAAATAATTGCTGCAAAGCCTAATGTAACACAATATAAACCCTACTTAGTTCAAAAGGTCTAAAGTGTCCAAATTCAAAAGTCCAATTTCTCTTCTCCCCCCTCCAAAACACCATTACATGCAGTCCATTAAAATCCAAATGTGCAAAAAGTTATAACCCACCTTTAGGAGTGCATCAAAAATAGGTTGACTATTCAAAATATTATTTTAGTGGAAATTTTACAGCACCATAATTAGAATTCCAAGGGAGTTCAGAATTCTTGTTCTGATAACAAATCAGTTGACACTGTTGATCCTAAAGAACAGAAAAAACCATTTTGTGCATTTCCTGGTATCTGAAATTCATGGAGAGAAACAGGTCTCATCTATGCCCAAAATCTTACTGTAGTTCAAAATGAAATTAAATAATCACATTTGTTGGCAATAAGTTCTCCACAGTATAGCATTAGTTGTAAATTTAGTAAATTTGCCAGATTAGGAATGAAAAGTTGCTGGTACCTTGCTTACTTGCAGAAGTACTTTTTTTGGTTTTGTCTTTTGCCTTTTTCTTTTTTTTTTTTTTCCTAAATAGTGCAGTTTGGCCCCTCCCTAGTAGGTGATTTACTATCAGGCTTTGAAAAAAATGCATAAGGTCCATTTCTGACCCTCAGCTGAAAGGCAATATACAAACTTTATATATACACATGTGTGCACAGAAATACACACATACATATATATAAAAATCAGTGTTCCGGTTTTTTGTTCTCATTTCCTATAATTTTCTTTGGTTAAAAGTCCGAGCAAGGAAATTAGAGGACCGAACAAATGGATCATTCTCCAAACACTTCCATCACTACACATCACTAACTGGAAGGCTTGCATCATCCAGATCCACAAGGCCAGGATCCTGTTCCTGAGTGCCATTTTTACTTTGGGGTTCCGAGAGGCCCTGTTCAGTCACTTTGGAAGCTGATTCTCTTGGAGCGACAACCTGGATCTTGTAGCTCCCTGGCTTGGCCTTGGTAAAAGATTCGTGAAATCCTCGCTTCTCCAAGGCAGGGTATTTGGCGTGAGGGTTTGGGACCAGAGGGCTGCCGTGAGCGGCTGTGGAATGTGAGGTGGCTGGGGCTGGGACGGCAGAACGGAGAGCATGGTTGGGTTCGGAAGAAGGTTCGGTATGCTCCTGGAAAAGAAGAGCACATGTCAGATGAAGTCATTGATGTCATGCTGGAAAGATGTAGTTTCAGATTTCACTCTCAGAAAAAAAAAAAAAAAAATCAAGACAGAAAATACACAAAGCGAAGCATCAGCCACAGCAGCGGGAGGCAGGTGCTTTCTCAAGGCAGTGTGTTATTAAATGTGAGCTTACAGCAGTATGTGACAGCAACATCAGTTTCTTCATTTGAGGAAATTAAATTTCTCAAATCAAGCTCAGCAGCTCTTTAGTCTTTATAATGCAGTCCAGCAAATTGAAGCTTCTAATTTTACTAAGATGTTAAGTAACCTTTTGAAGATACGCACTTTAAACACCAAAGTGACATCTTTCCAAGAGAAAAAAATGTATTCAAACATATTCATACACACCAGGCACTCATATCCTAAATCCTGAAGTAATGAACATGTTACTATTCCCTCTTCTGGGGGTACTAATCTCCCCAGTTTGTTCCAGGGACCAAACAGCAGCAGTAACTATTTATCCTGTGAAGACTGCATAACAATTTCCAAAGTTAATGGACCTACAAAAGAAACTGATCTTTAAGATATTGTCAAATTGGTTTTTTTGTGTTTACTATTGTTAACTGCCATTCTGTTGACTTTTACTTAACTCTATTAGATTGATACTGTGAAAATAATCTTCCACCATTTACTTACTGATAGAAACAAGTTCCCTGACTACCTAGGAGTGGTTTAGACGTCTAAAGCATAGGCACAGAGCATCAATTTAGATGTCCTAGGACATCCCGCCTGACCTACAGTTGCATCTCCAGAACAAAAAATTCCTCGGGTTCTGGATTGTATCTATCGGTTCTGTAAGGATGTCTCAAATACCGAGGGATATCGAAAACAGCGCTGCATACAGTGTTAAATGACATGATCAAAATGATGTGCGATGACGCAGTGAATGCTTCCCTCTGCATGCATTAGGAGCTGCAGCTGCTGCCACTTCTGCCATCACCAGTGTTAGTAGGTGAACTAAAGAAATCTGCGAACCCATGTGTGCACACAAATCAAGTCACTTTTCAAGCACATTTATTAGCAAACAAATCATCAGACGTGTGTCCAAGATGCAAATACACATCCTAAATGAAACACTTATTTTTTCACAGCAGTTTTCCAAGTGTCTTTTAGAATGCTATGGCATGAATTCATAAATTTAATCATAATGGATTCTGCCAAGTACTACCGTATTTCTTTTTATAAATTAACTAATATTATTGCATGAAGAAGCTGTGCAACTTTTTTACTTCAGTTTTGTGTTCAATTTCAGTGAAGTATTTCACATTATTTACACTGCCTTATTTCATACCTGACTTAATACTCCACTTCAAGAAAAACACTTGCTTTAGGAGAACATACGACTCAGTGATTTATATTCTTCTTACTAGTAATAATTTTAGATCAACCAATAGGACAAAAGTAATGGATATCAGGACAAGATTTCTATAATAAATGTTTTGCTAAATTGAACTGAAGGATACTTACATTTTACTACCCACACTGACTGTAATTTCAGCTAAGGGACTATGCTGCTGTATTACTCCTAAGGTGTACTGCTTTGAACAGTGTACCGATTATACATTGTAACACTTCTACGTTTGAACTAATAATTTCATGCAGAGACTTATAAGCCATGCAAATCAGGCTACAATATTATCCTTCCAATTACTAGAGTTACAACGTGCATTTTTTGTGTGCACGCATCTGTATTAGTTTGTGGGTAGCTTAAATTTAATTTTGCTTTTGCGCAGTTTCAAAAAAAAATGTAAAGTAAAATGGAAATATGAACTCTCATGCAAATTAGTTTTAATACTTTCCTATTAAAATGACATCACATAACTTACGTTTAAATATATAGTATGCTTTGAAGTATAAACACATGTTTTTGCCATTTTTAATTTCCAATTATTTTAAAAGTAAGAAAAAACAGTGCAAACCTGTAAGTGAATGATATAATTTATGAGTTAGTTCTCAGTAATGGTAATGACAACAGGTAGCATTATTTTTAGTTTTTTATAGTGCAAATTAGTCTCTAGTCCTAGCCCTCTGTTAAGAAGGCAAGTTTACATGAGAGCCCACATACGTGCTGCATTCACCAGTTCTTGATGTATACCTCTGTATACAAGGATTCGACAGCCTTCTGGCCTGCCGCATCTGGAACACAGTGCAAAGCTAAGATTAGAGTAACCTACACTTGGGGAAAGAAGAGAAGAGAGGGGAAAAAAGAAAGAAGTAATGCAGACAGTAATAGCCAGATTGCTCAGTTAGCCCCACAAAAAAAAAAAAACAAATCATACACAAAGAAAAGTTATCTGCATATTTTCATTCCCCCACAAAGAAACAAAATTTATGAAAGGAAGTTTTATTTAAAAGCATGAAGCTGCTCCCAGCTGCAAAAAATAATCAAGAGCTTTGATTGAGTTAACAGAAACACAGTATCAATGCAAACGTGTAGTCAAAAGCCAGATTTAAATTATTAGGTTTAAATTATTAGATTTCAGATTATGGGGTAATGATATATTCAGCTTATTACAAAACATCCCATAGCCAAAAAATGAAAACCATAGCTTGCAGCATCTGAACTGTATTCCATTTGTTAAATCTGGATATACATGGAGACACTGTGACACTACAGTTGCAAGTTAATGTACTTTGTACTGAACATCAAATACAGTGTAAATGCACATTCATATGAGATGTTGGCACCCACACGGCTTCACAAATAAGATTTGTCACAGTGCCTCAGTTCAGTAGTGCTAGATGGTGTTCACACTACGTTTCCAATAGCAAAAACTAATTCATGCGAGCAGAGATCTCTTAAAGAAGTTACTTTAAATTTGAATCTGTATCTGCATACACAATAAACTGTCAACAATAGAGAATGAGAATTTATTAGAGTTGTTAAAAACAAATTAGGATATTGTCATTTGATTGCAAAACTCAGCAATTAGCCAAAACACCTCGCAGGAATTAGAAAGTTTAAGTTTTACTTTCAAACCAGTAGCAGCATAGTGACAAAGATCATACTGAACTCAGAAGAGTTTTTCTAGGTTAGCACTTGCATTATCTACACTTTCAAGACAATACAATGCACATAAAGTTACACACATTTAAGACTAAGATAAGCACTCAATTAAAAACAAAAATATTTTATGCCAGTCTATATGAAAGTTCATGCAAAGATGCCACGTTACTACAGGACAGGATAGAGGACATGCAAAGGGGAAAACAAACTAGAGTTTCATGAGCACAAGTGAACATCAACTAATCACATTTTCTCTGAAGTTCAGAATAACATACGGAAGCTGCTGATCTTCCAGGTCCTCGCTGTGCTACAATGGCCCCAGAAATTGCTTTTATCCAACTGTGCATGTCTTCTGGACTGTCCGCCTGGATCAAACAATATGCGTTATATTTAACATAATCAGCTCTCAACTTTCCCAGTATTCTGACCATCTGCATTAAAGTGACAGCCTTACCCTGCTTTAGTAGTCTTATTTAAAGCCATAGGGACTTCCATTTCTTAACCCCGACATTTCTTAAAAGCTTACCCTGAATTTACTATATGTATGTAGTTATATAAAATAGTAAGCAAGAAATAAGTATTTTTGTACTATTTGCATACTGTAGGCTCAAATTTTTACTTTCAACAAACAAAAAAAAAAATTAAAGCGCCCCAGAAATTCTTACAGGAGATCTGCAGACCCCTCTTAGCAGACTTTGACCAATGACATAACTTCTGTACTTTTCAGCCACTGTTGCATTTTACTTCTATGAGGTAGTTACTGAAGAGTTACAGCAAAATAAAAAGCAGTCTCTGTTAGGGGTCAGCTGTACATTTACTCAGAACAACAATCGCACAAAGATGCAATAGATTAACAGTGAATACCAAGCGTGTGCACATCTGGGATAAAGACAGATAAAAAGCTAAAGCTATCTCCTAATTAAGTTGCAGCTTTACTAAACTAGCACATTCACCCAGCGAGAAACATCTGCAACATGTCACTTAATTATGTTCAGCTATAAGACAGCTCATAACTCAGCATCTGGCACCACTGCCTGCATTAGGCTACACAGGCCTTTCTGATCCTACAAGAGAAACTCAAAAAATATTTCCAGTGCTATGAGCATCGCATTCCCACAGAGCTAGGAAATGCAAGGCTTTGTGATTTGCATTATATCCAAACATTTAAAAGATAACATGGTAAGGATGAAGTGAATACAGTGCATATAGGTACACATTACCAAATAGGTACTGAAATCTAAATGTTGCTGTGCTTTAGTAGATATTTCAATGTGGCAACTACCCTGAATCTGAGAACTCAACTGTTACACAAAAATTTATTACTTCAAAATAAAATTTTAAAATATTGAGTTGATCCTACAGAATCTAAAGACCCAAATGCCAACAAAATCACATTAGCATTTGTTGTTTATTGCTTTCATACACTAACAACGCAACAGCTGCTGTTATGTGGAATATTTCTTATATGTATCTTTCTGAAACATAATGAAGATCACATTCCCTTGGAAAATCATGGCATAGTTAAAATACAACTTAAAAAGCAAAACAGCAGTGCTTCTTCGCTTTGACTATGGCAGTCCCTTGGTTTTGCCCAAAGTTTAAAGAAGAAATTACCTGTACATAAAAGGTTCGAGAAGTTGTTACGATTTCAAAAAGATTGTCTCTCATCATTATATCACTGTAAATGAAACACACAAATACTTCAACAGCAAGTACAACTATCTATTCTAAAAGGACTCTAGGATGTGCAGAGAACCACAGCATTTGTTGTCTGAAGACGTTTGCATTTCTTTATCACTCTACTGTTGTTTTTTTGGTAAATACCAAGTAGAAAAAGAAAAACATCTTCTCTTACTCATTTTAGTCCTGACTCTTTATCAGTGGCATGTATACTACTATACATATTTTTAATTGGAACATTCTAAAGCATGTTAACCATGTTAAGTTTGCAAAAATATTTATTGTTCTAGCCAAATTCCTATGAAATTTCACATTTATATTTTGCAATATAAATACATATTTTGGCTTCACAAAGCATTAGTCCTAAGCAGGAGCCTACTGAAAAAAAAAAAAGCAAACCTACTACAAATGCAATTAATTCCTTAGTATATTGCCATTTGGTGGGAGGGAAACAGCAGGAGGAGTGTTCTCATCTACATTCAGACATTTAACATAAGGTAATGTCCTCTAAAGGTTTAGAGGTTATATAAGCAGAATAGAGACTCCTAAAATTGCTGCTTCAAATCAGCCAGCACCCATGCATCTCTAACTCACGATCGCGTGATACTCCTTTGTTCCACCCCTGTCCAACGCATTTACATTCTACTGAATGTTACAAGGTTGAAACACACACCGATGCAGAACCCTCAAAACCAGTTTTATGCACAAAACTACTTGCTGTCCTATAAGTAGAGAGTATCACACATGCATACATCAACCAAAGTTATTACAAAGTTCTCCACTGTTTCCAATTAGCAGTCTAGCCATGAAACAGCAGTGTACCACATCCCACGTAACCGCATCAGTGCTTCTCTCCTCACCTTTGCTTGCATTCCTGAACTTTATGGACCTCCTTAAGTGGTATAACCCTGAGAGGTTCCTTTTCCTAGGAAAAAAAAAAAAAAAAAGGCCAAAAATATTTCGGTAGAGTATATCTAACAACTAGAATATAGTCAAAAAGCCAGAGGTCAGGGCAGTTGGTAGCAGCAGACTTGTGTAAATGAGACTTTCAAGGCAGTCACTTATGCAAAAGGTGATGTCAACCAAAATTTAATTTGCTTTTGTAAGTATTAAACCAATCATGACACTGGCAATGAAGAGGAGGTGAAATCAAGAAGTAAAAAAAAAAACCACCTCAAACACATTCATTCACCTTACCATAATGGAGACAACCACCCCTGTCCGCTTCCCCTAACCAGATCAGAAAGTTGAATCTGGTTTCAAACAGCTTATTTCAGCAAAACCATGACTATATTCATTTGCTATGAAATGCCACGATACAAGATGCTTTGTTAATTGTACTGCATAACATGGCTTTAAGTATGACTAATTGTATCCTATACTCAATACAATTAAAAATAATACAAAGAAATCAATTGTACCAAGACCTGTAAAAGAGCAAGTATTTTTAAAGCATATGAATGTTCTGTTACCTTAACAAAAATGAGTGTTAAAATTCTGCCAAAGTTTCACACAACAGGAAAAAAGTGAGAACGTTCAAACAGAAATACTTTCACTTTTGCCACAACAACGTAATGTCATACGTACTATGATTTTCCTGTGGTTGTTGCAGTAAAACACAGACAACAACTTATTTTACCTCCTAAGGTGTTTCCTTTAAGCAATGTTGGAATGGATTACTTGGAGTTGGTTTCAGCTTACAGACAAAACAAAAGCTGTCAGCTCTGGAATGAGTACTTTCTCTACAAGTTCTATTACATATACTTAAGAGATTTATGTTGTTATAGCAAACAGCGAATGTCACCCAACTATAACCATCCTCAAATGTCAGTTTTCATTAAAACACTTGTCTCTATAGCAGATCAAATGTTCAGCGTTTAAAACTCAATGCCTTCAGTTATTTTGCCCCTCTTCCCCGCTCTCTCCTCCCTGCTCTTCCTAGGTTCACTCATCCATTACAACAGAGTTTTCTAAGTAATACAAGAAACATGAACTGCAAGATCATTCCTGGAATACAGACACCCATTGCAGGGAAGACCTCAGCTCAGAAATCATAATCTTCCAAGTCAGATATTGCTTGTATTTCCCTATGCTCCACCTGAAGACTGACATGGGCTCTTCCCCAAATGGAAGAGAGGAGATCATTAAGGGGGAGGAAGGGGACAGGACACCAACCAACCACAATAAAAAAAAAAAAAAAAACAGAAACAATTAAAAAAAAAAAAACCCAACATTTTTTTTACACTTTTGAGAGCAGAGAACTCAGATATATTTCCACAGATGCCAAACAGCAGCATCTCAAGATACCCAGTCCAGTAAGAATCATCTGAAGTACTGGTGAGCAGGCTGGCTGCCAAGACAAACAAACTTCAAGTAAGAGCCATACTTGAGTGAAGACTGCAGCTACTGGGAACTGAAGTCCAACAGAATGAAGTTTTCCAGAATTAGAAGTCTGATGCTACACTAGCTGAATATGACCTTCATGCCACAGCCTTCTTAACCACAAAAGCATGACAAACAGTCACTACCGAACTTTTCTCCAATCTTTGTGCTACTCTCGTTAGGAACAGGAGATTATTAGGGAAACAGAGATCCCACGCATCCCTGATAGAAATCACTCACTGCTTGAAATCTTCAGAAGAGAGCACTTTACCATTTTTGTGTTTGTAGGAGATAAAGAAGAGTCTAATGGATATATGGTTAAGTTGCAGTTGTTGTCTTCTTCTTGGTGGGCTGTGCTCTGTGAAAGTTTTGCTCTTTCCAGCACAGATTAAGTCTCTCCAACATGTATGTTTCAGACACAGCAGATCCAATCGTTAAAAAACTAAATGAAACGTGATTATCACAATTATGTCCCCTAACCATGGAATCCTTTGATTAACCACTATAATCAATAAAAGAATGCTATATTCTCCATCTATTCAGTACTTAAGTCCCTGAAAAGAGGGGTGACTCTCAAAATGGAAAAAAAAACGTGATTTCAATAAAAATTGTGAAGCAGGATCTACTTTCCTGTTGTCTGACAGCTGGTCAGTCCAGTACCTTCCTCAAACTGCAGCAAGGGGATATTAGCCTGAAGAACAGAGGACACTAGAAGAATTTATATTGTTTATTTCAATTAAACTGGAAAGGATCATGATGAAACACTAAAAGTGTATGCATTTCTACCAGCTTTTAGTATACTCAATTTTTCTTAGAGTCAGAGTTTACTCGCAAGCAATCTACACTCAGATTTTATTTTAAAATGAATATAGAGGGTTTATTATAGGCAACGTGTCAGACTTGTGTTATTCTGACACTTTAACAAAGACAATAATGCAAGGTCAAACTCCTGTTACTGTTGTATTCCCTCATTAAAAGTAAAGCAAAAGTTCTCTTCAAAAACAGCCTGAAATTTGGCTCCTTAACATTTTGCATCTTACAGTTGGCCTGTAAACTCAAGTTTGCTTGGTTTATAATACTCTACAACTCAGACTTTATTCCTCATGTACAAATGTTCTCATGTTTAGTAAATGTGGGATTCCTTTTTGGGGAAAACAGACCGCCTCCAGTACCAGCCACTTCACTTTTAAATGAAGCCTGAAGGCACTTAACATTTGGTCAAAAATGGTCAAAAAGTTCAAGAGCGATGAGTGGGGAAGAAAGATCATGAAACCGAAACAAACTCTAAGCATTGCTTCTGAACAGCAGAGTTCTTTGCCTGTCTTGGCTGCTTGGTGAAACAAGTGTGTGGGAAAAGATCCCATCATTTGTAAGATAAAACACCCTACAATCCTAACTTTAAATTAAGAATTGCAAGATTACAGTTTTACCTCTCCACATAACGATCAGCTGTTTCAAGAACACAATTAATTATACATGAGTACAAAGTGACATAAGACAGTAATACAAAAATCAGGGTGATTGTAGAATATATCCTATTACTGTTCTTAAGTGCCCTACAGACAAGTTCCCAAACAGAAGACTGAAGTCTGACTTAAGAGCCACCCTGTTAACTTTTGTTCTTCACAATGGTGAAAAGTTATTACAGTACAGACCTGAGAGCTGCAGGATCAGCACAGCACATTTTTCAAATACTCAAATACAGCGTATTTCTTTAGATTTTCTTGCAAGGATCACTGGAGAATAACACACATTTGGAAACTTACCAGTTCAGACTTGAAATATCCTATTGTGTTTTCATCTAACTGAAAGTATCTTCGCTTCCAGTTCTTCATCTATTAAAGGAAAATGAATATTTATGTTTTATATAAAAAATAAAAATACACTTACATGTTATATACTATTCATATATTTATATTTATGATTCTAGTCTATGATATTGTATAATGCCTATTTATAGTCATCTATAATATTTATCATTTTTATATAGTACATATATCTATGTGTCTTGTATACATATAGTGCCCCCAAAATAATTCTGCCAGACTCTGCCCAATTAAATTTTTTTTTGAAAACTGAAAAATTACAAATTCTAGAAACAATTCTCTATTGTAAGAATTTTTCAACAATCTCCACTGAAACTGTAGCAACTCAGCAGCACAAATACCCCGTAACAAATGTTAAAAGACAATACATTAAAGGTTTCTATTTTATTTTTAACTAAAAAAAAAAGGCGTTACAAAAAGAAGCTTCATAATCCAAGATAAAATGAATCTGAGGACTCACAAAGCATCTTGCTTAATCTTAACTATCTACTCCTTCTTTTAGCAAGGCATCATGTGATTAGTTCCACTTGTGTTAATCAGTCTGGCAAATTGTACAATTCTTCCTTTTAACTGTAATATTTCTGAATATTTGAGTGATTTAAAAAGCATGCAGGCATTGAAATTCTGCCTTAATTTAGATGAAAGTCTCTGTGCACACAACTTTTCCTCTCCAAAACATCTCCAACAACACAGCACTGAAGAAAGTCATGAAAAGAAGTAACACAGACATAAATTACATGCTACCGGAGGGTAAGTTTGATATTTAGCACTACTGATAATATTAAGGATTGCAATAGGACAAGAGGTAACGGGCACAAACTTGACCATAGGAAGTTCCATCTTAACGTGAGGAGGAACTTCTCTGCTGTGAGGGTGGCAGAGCAGTGGCACAGGCTGCCCAGAGAGGTGGGGGAGTCTCCCCCTCTGGAGCCATCCCAAACCCGCCTGGACGCCGTCCTGTGCCACTGCTGGAGGTGCCCCTGCTCTGGCGGGGGGTGGCACTGGGGGAGCTCCAGAGGGACCTTCCAGCCCTCACCAGTCTGGGATTCTGTAAGGATGGCTAAAGTTACTGGTAATAACATTTATTTTTTTTTTTTTTTTTTAAATCATCTACTTGGTAAGTACAACCACCACCTTAAGACCTTTGCTCTTGATTAATGAAACACACTGTTCTCAAATACTTACCACTGCTCCTTGTTTTACACAGTAGCCAGCTTTGATAATAGCATTATCTGGGGGATGCTTAGCAGTAAAATATGGAAGGTGACTTTGTGACCGTTTCAAATAATTCCTATCACCCCCTTCACTGCACTCACTGATTTCTTCTTTCTAGAAAAAAGCAGGGAAGTTCAGAACATTGTCATTTTTTTCTAAAGGTCAAAGAGTAACTATACTAGTTGTAATAGGAAAGAACTGTATCATCCTGTGCTCACAAATTCCATTTCCAACTTGTTTGAACGGATAAAATATTTCAACCGATTTCTAGACAACTAAGGAGACTCTCCAAGGGTTCTGGTTGAGTATTTGCAAGTTCCATTTAGAAACTACACTATGAAAGTGCTGAATAGTCTCAAACAATATTGACAGACACTGAATGAAGAATGTAACAGACCTAAAACCAAGATATACGCATGTATTTAGTGCAAGCTCATAACGTGACTTTAAGGGCAAAACACTAGAGGTGACTACAGCAAAGAAAAAGCTATTTCTAGGACCATAAGACATCATAATTCACCAACTTTTTTAATGCAGTTCAGGTGTATACATGTCATTTACATGCTATTAAACCAATCTGTAACTATTTTCAGCTCAGGGAACTTCCAGAAACAGATACAGGTCTATATCTTTAACACTGCATAGATCCTTCTTCCATGAAGGAAGACATGAAGTTCCACCTGGTTACACCATAAGCTTTGTTTAAAAGCCCATAGTTTTCATAGTGGAAACGAAAATTTACACCATCCACTTCTGCCAATTGTTATTTTATAGACCTCTTCCATGTGCAAAATAAATAACTAAAGGAGGATGTAAGAGTAAAAGCCTACTCAATTGTTCCTCATATGGAGACCATTTCACATGGACCAATCACCCTTGAAATCTTTCTCTGAACCTTTCCAGTTCTAGATTTTAAGATGAAGAAAAAGCTGGACACAGTAATCAAACTCTGGTCAAAGACAGGATTTATACAGCAAAGATGTCTTCTGTTTTGCTCCTTATTATTTTTCTAGTAACGTGCAGTATTTGTGGGTTTTTCCTCCGCTGTTACTGAACACTGAGATGATGTTTTTATAGTGACTGTAACTCTTGCCTCTCACTCAAGTGAAAATGCTTATTTCACAATCTAGTATTTTCTATTAAAACTAAGATCGTTTTTCCCAGAATCCCTTACGTCACATTTATTTCCACTGCACTGCACATGCTTATCTTCTTTATTCACACATGCCACTTCCACAAGACTCTTCTGCAATAGTTTAATCTGCTGTCAACCTCACTACCTCTAATAACATAATGCATATACTAACCAGCTGACTTAATCACCTCCTTTTTTACCCACTTTTCCTGACAGTTAACAATGCCAAAGTTCTGTCTTTTTAACACCAACAATTTGCACACAAAAAAGACATTTTCAGCACACTGATACCTGTGATTAAAAAACAAAAATCAATACTCAAATAATTCCTTAGTCTTGTATAGTTCTCTATAATCCTGTATAAAGGGAATGAAATCCTCAAAAAGAAAAAAATCCAGTCAGTATCAATAAAAGGTGCATATCAAAGTCTTCTGAGCAAGGTGAGAAGCTGATGTGCTATATTGTGATACCTAACCTATTCTCACCAGTCAAACAAAGCTTTCACTATCAAACAAAACCACACTTGTTTTAAGGGTATTACCTGGGTAGGTGTAATGATAGGAACACCGCCAACAATTTCTGTCCTGTAAGACACTTGCTTCTTTCCACCTGGGCTTTCAGCTTGACGATTTGCATTATCCATTTGACACAGAGGATCAGACTGCTTTGGTACCTGAAAGTGGAATATCATAATTAGCATAAAAAGTTTTATGAAGACCTGAAGAAAGCCCTAATCATTATTCAAGCATTTTTAATTTGTCTTTAGCAGGATTTAACAAATGCTCTCTAATTGCAAAAAGCTAGAAATAGCTTACATGAAAATTTGTTGCAATGGCTACACTTTAGTTCTCAGAAAAAAAACTGGTGCCAATAAAGACATTCCACCAGGTGTCTTGAAATCTAAAAATCAATTCCCAGCTTTGCCATAAGTGCTATATTTGATCTTGAAGAAGCACTGCTAATTTGTCGAAGAACTGGTTCTTTATTTTTCACTTGCTTTCAGTTTTAGCAAAAAGTGCTTTAGACCGCAGATGCCCGGTGCCTGTAGAGCTAGCACGGTAAGGCCATAAATGCAGGGCTACAGTGCCGTGGCTTTTGTCAAACAGGATGCCTGACCAGCATGACATCTGCACTCACACTCCAATACTTGGGATGAAGACTTTGTGTACCGCCTCCTACATATATTACTAAATTCTGTCCAAAATTACTCTAACTACCTATTTCTAACTATCATTAACTAGGTTGGATGGGGCTTTGAGCAAGCCGGTCTAGTGGGAAGTATCCCTGCCCATGGCAGGGGAGTTGGAACTAGATGATCTTTAAGGTCCCTTCCAACTCTAACCACTCTATGATTAGCTAATTCTCTCAACCGTGGAATTAAAGCAATCAAAACACCACAGGAATTTAATTTCCCAGTAAGTGTTTTGATCTAAAGTGTTTACTCAAATTTCTGAGTTTGTGCAAGAAGTAGACATCTGTAACCTAAGAAATGTACTACCTGGCTACCTAAGACAGTTTCATTTATCCTTTTACCCCTAATGTTAATTTAGTAAGTTTGAAGTGACTTCATCAAGAAGAGATCAAGAGTCTCACACCAAAATATCCTAGCCAGCAACCTACTGGGTATTTACACAGGACATCCAAATTCGTTCAGAAAGAAGGGACACACAAATTGTCCTTATATGGTGAATTACAATGCAAGACCGTGGCACATTCAAAACTTGAAATTGAACTATCTAGACAAAACCAAAGCTACTTTATAGTCTGCTGTGATTCTAGTTCCTATGCCCAGGACTGCTTATTTCACAAAAAAACAGTCTGCAAAGAAGTACAAACAGTCCTGAGAGCACAAATGTCAGCCTGGGACAGCTTCCTCCTGGCCAAGTGAAGGTGGCACTCAGCAGCTTGCTCAGCTGTGGCGTCAGGCTCATTCTCTCGCTTCCACTGTCCCCTCAGCCTTGCACAACGCCCAGCTTTGCTAGCACTGGTACAAGGGGACTCCACTCACAGCCAAGTCTGGGGCTGAAGGACAAGACATCCTCCTAGTGCACAGAGATCATGGGCCTCAGCCTTTCAAGAGAAGGGGCTTGTAGATACAGCTTTATGTGTAAGCACTTCAGCCGTCACAAACTCCTACTTAAAATGTTATAGACCGAACCCACAACCACCTTCTTATATGAATGTGTGTACCTATTTGAGTAATAGTGGAAAGCAATGTGCTAGACTGCAAAGGTTCACAGTTATTTTGAAATTATCAGCACTCAGAGTCCTAAAAATGCAGCAAATCTTGGAGAATTACAATCTATACCAAGTAATGCTCATAAGAAAATTAATCACAGAATTTCAGAGTTGGAAGGGACCTCTAGAGATCATCTAGTCCCACTCCCCTGCTAAAGCAGGATTGCCTAGAGCACATTGACAATAGAATGATCTTAATTATTTGATTAAATCACTGGCCATACTAACCTCTGAACAGATTAACAGTGCAAAGGCTTGTTCCTTCAAAGACAAAAATACTAATGATTTCACCAGCCATTTAGAATGCAAGTTGAACATACGATAAACAGCTTTCAGACTAAATTCTAATTTGATGCAATTAATTCTTTATTCACCCCGTTATTTTTTGAACTGGAAACAATTCAAGCCTGGTTGTGGTGTGTCCTCCATTTGAAAAACCCAAGGCTTTGTGCTTCTGTTTTTTTTTTTTTTTTCATTAGTAGCAACATTTTTAACTCCAAAGAAAGGGCTACATTAAAAATTCCAAACATCTCATGGAAACATCCTTATACAACTTAAAAAATGAGAAAGTTACTGACAACAAATACGAATGTGCACACCCATGCTCAGAACCTCGTCTTTGTAAAGGTAAGCTCTCAAAACAGTTCACGTCGTCACTTCCCCAAAACCGGAGAGCTAACAAAACTATAACTTCTGCCTCCTGAAAAGACTGATGTAATACATGGGGTTTTCTACCATGTGATAACAAGCTGTCCTGGTACAAACCAGAACAGTAATTTAACACATACCAGAAGAATGCATTAATGTTTCTTTGAATGGATGTTACTTGAAATCAGGAGAGCCTCTGGAACATGGCATGATGTGTTTGCTCATTATTTCAGTGATACTTTAAGAAATAGGAACTTTTGACATCAGGCAAATATATGTGTATCTTTTCATTGCTTGCAAGTGTCTTCTGCATATTTCAATTAATATTAAATTTGTACAGTTAATTTTAACTTATTAGGAAACATCATTTGCTGTAATGAAAAAATTAATCACATTTTTGTCCAATATCTAAAGCAAAAAGTAAAATAAACTCAAGTTTGGGGGGAGTTCTGTACAGTTTCTCCAAGCCTTGGAAAGCCAAGCCAAGACTTGTTTGTACAGCTAAAAAAAGACTACTCTAGCATAAAAACTGGAGGCAAAGGTTACATTTAAACACCTTGAGACAGTCAACATTTGAAAACATTGCTAAATATCAGCTAAAGCACTTACTGTGATTTTGGTAGCTTTGTTCAGAACATTTACCCATTCAACTAGGTCCTGCTGATCATTGGCTTGTAGAAAGTATTTTCTCATCCCTGCATTCATAACTGTTAAAAACCAGTATGAAAAAGTTAACAACACTGACATTTAAGAGCAAACGTAAAACCATCATAGAAAGATTTAATTTCAGATGGAAAATCCAGTTTAAGTATTCAAGCTCTCTGCTGCATTTCTTTTTAGAAAGTCATCTTGAGATACATACATCCACTTGACAGGCTTGCTTTATCTTAGAAAAAAACCCACTATTTTTCTTTTCTTTTTTTTTTTAAGCTCTCCACTTTAACAGCACTGTACAGAATTTCTGAAATTATTTTTATTACATAGAAATAAAGCCTTGAATTTTATCAGAATTTTCTACAGCTTCATTTCCCTAAGCGACAAAGTTTTATGTGTGGGGACGTCTACAATTTCTCCTTTTAAAAAATCTGACCACTATTGGTTATCCTTTGCAACAAATGCATTAACATGATTATGATCACCGATTTTTATGTTTTTTTAAGCTGTGGAAAAATCAGTATTGATTACTAAGTAGATGATGCTCAGGACCAAACAACTTTAAACTTTATTTCATATTAGTGACTTGGCAAAGCAAGCATATTTTTAAGTAAGTTTATATATCTACCTGGCAACACCTAGCATACCTTTATTCAAAAAGGACGAACATATTTCTGTGTAACAGTAAAAACAAAAATAATCGTGGCTAGGTTTCTCACAAATTCCATTAAGTAAGGTGAACAGTGACTACAAGCTTCCCAGAACTTTGAAGCATTGCAGCTAAAGTCTGAACAGATTTCACTGCTCTACCTGTAACATAACAGTTCTTCAGGTCATTGCTAACAGCAAACACATGCCAGAAACATATTTTTTACTCTTCTATCATCCTTCTCCGTAAAGTGGATGGTTTGAAGCAAACATTATTAGATGCAAATATAAAATCAAACCACAGAACTGTAAACTGAGTTGACTGAAACAACGACTCCTGGTATTTAAATAAAAAGACAATAAATTTATATTTTTCCTCTAGAGAGTATCAAAAGTGCTTTAATAAATCAGAAATATGAAAAGCACCTTGGACCATTAAGGCTTTTTAGAGCTGGCCCACGGACAACAGCAACTTTACAGCTGATGAAGACAAACACCTCTACACATGCATGTGCAGAGGAATCTGTAGATGGCACTGAATTGACGCGCTACGTACTAGTCCAGACTCCCTGAAGCCACACAGGGTGATTTACAAAGTGCTCCAACACAGAGACTGCACAAGTCTGGTGGAGCAGCCTTCCCTGGGCCTGTACAACACTGCACATGGCAAAGGACAGCTTAACTAATTGTCATAATCAGGCATTTTCAGTACCTTCATCTGAGCAGATTTTCATTATTGTGTGAATGCAGCCATAAAGAAAGGTTATTCATAAACAGAGCAGAGGCCGATTCCAGTCTCCACGCATACTTTTCTGAATGCTTCAGTTGCTTGTAAAAAAATTCTGGAATTATGCTAAGTTCTGGACAAATTACTCATAAGAAAAAAAGAATCTAAAAGAGACCAGAAGGGACTCTTATGATTAGCTAAAGTTCTACCCAAGTTTAAACAAGTTTAAATATCAATAAACCTAGAAAGTACCCCAGCAAATTATTTTTCTTTGGTGCAGCAAGAGAGGCTGAAACTTAATGTAAGAGCATTGGCTGACAGTATTTTTAGATCAATTAAATCAACTCTTTTATCAGTAATGCAGATTAAAATAGTTAAATTACTCGTTTTCATAGCTAACAGGCATACCATGTTTCTGAAAACACCCATCATTTTTGATTAGCTTATTAATGCCTAAAAAATTTCAAACATCTGAAAACCAGCACTCACTCACTCCTCATGACGCTGCAATATGAAAAGCCACAAAAACACCTTATGAAGAAGCCAACGTTTCTCTTGTACTAAAGAAGAAATAGGGAATACAAGCTATTTTCAAAAAATACACTACCAGCTGTATCTAGTAGCAGAAATGCAGAATATCTTTGTTTCAAATTTCTAATGAACATACTTGATGCACATGCCACATGCAAGAACTTACCAAAACAGAATTCTGCCTTTGGCCTTAGCTTGGTTGCATCGCTAACCTAGTACAGAAATTAAGATTATAAATATCACTGCACTGCACATCCAAAATGTACATCAGGTATCACAATTTTTTTCTCTTTCAAGTGGCTAAATTTGAAGATTAGCAGCAAAGCAATCTTGTTAGGTATAAAGATATACAGATATAATAAAAAATACTATATAAATTTCAGTTCAAGACATGCAACCTATGGTAAGAAGATAGCTTAAGCCATATGTTCCCACCCCATAATTTTAAGGATCCATTACCAGACAAAATGTTGACATCTGAAAACATAAAACTTCTACTTGCGTTTTGAAGTTCTACATCTCAAATGAACTAAAAATTCAAGGACATCAGTTGTATTTTGGTTCATTAACATAAAACCAGTAATAGTCACTTTTCTTCAGGAGTCTCTAAAACGTTGCAGTGTTGGGGGAGGAGGGAAGTGGGCATCCTGTTTTGAGAGAGGCATTGCCTTTTTTACATTATAGAGCACTTTTATCAAGGGTGGAGGAGAGGGCAAAGCAGCCTTTCTCACCAAAACTTTTTTTTTTTTTTTTTTGGCCAGAAACAAAAACCACGTACTACGTAACTAGAAGGGCTACGGAAAGTTAGACAGAGCTTCCGCACAGGACACACACTCGAGCTGCCTTCAAAGGTGCACACAGGTGCAAAGGCACCGGTGACCACCCCTGCTCCCACTAGAAGTGAGATACAACATTTCAGATTTCTTAAGATGACAACTGCGAGGTCTGGGGCAAAGTAAGCATAAAAGAAGTAAACCAGGAGGGACATAAGCAGGTCTCCATAGACATTTCCGTACTCATGATATAACCAGCATCAATGACTCCTTTTACAAGAATAAAAAAAAACCAAAACAAAACAAGGAAGGTGGGGACATATAGTATGACAACAAGAAAAGCAATGGAAGGAAGAGAAATGAGCAGAAAGACAAGAGAAGATCAATAGTGTTTCCCCACTTACTTGTTAATACAGTATCTGCTACAAATTTACCCATGAAGACTTTCTTAATTTACAGTTTTCTTTTAGACGCGTTTGGAAGCGAGTGTATGCAGACTGTAATGAACTAGTATTTTTTAGAAATGTTTCTGTTCTATCAATTAAAGATCATTATTACTTGCAGACTATCCCACCCAAAGACTTATCTTCCACTTCATAAGTGGTCTGTCTTTTCTCCAAAACTAGTTGGAATTCAAATACTCATACAGAAACTGAAACATACGGTTCAGAAATATTAATTCTATGCAGCACAAAGAGCTGCCACTTGAAATCACAAAACAAACCTAGACAACGCGGTAATTAGTCTGTTCTTCTTTTAACCTGATACTATTGAAGCGTTTGCAACACTTCTCTAAAATTCAGGAGGAGCACACAAGCAAAAAGCTTCCCATGCGCTACGTAACAGGCCTTCAAAATTGTCTCCACTTGAGGCTTTCAGAAGCAGCCCTTGGTAGTTAGCACCAAAATTTAGCAACAACTGTCTTACATATTGTCTTACCTTTGAAATATAGGTAAGTTTAATGACTCCCACAGGTGGAGATCCAGAGGGAAGATTCTGAAACAAATCATACGTTACAAAGTGAAAACTAGTTTATTCTCATATCACAGTCAGTGTTTATGCATAAAAAGCAAACAACTGAATTCCACAAACAAAAAGAAAATCCTATGTGTTTTTATAGACAATACACAATGTACACTTGAAACAGGATCTAAACTACTTGTTTATTATACACACATCTGTTAATCAACTAAAACCAGAAAGACTGCTAGAAACAATACAAATAGTAATTGTTTTAGAGGTTTATGTATTTTACTAGAGGAAAAAGGATTCTTGCAGGTCTGCATCCAGGAAATCCGGAAAGAATACTTTTTCCTTAACAGATGTTGGCATTTTATGTATTTTGACCAGGGCAGGCGGAAGGGACAAGAAGTGACATTCATCTATTATGTCAGATACTTCAAAGGCTGTCTCACGTATTTTCCAAAATGGATTGAAAAATCATAGTCTTATCATTTAATATTAAAGTTATTGCAGGGAAAGACCATGCTACTTCCTAAAGTTGCAGTTAAGTCTAAGCACATTTACAGTCTTTGGCACGGATATTAAATCTGTACCTTGCACATACCTCCGTTGTTTTTACCTCCTTGCTTAGCACAGTACTCTAACATTTACATTGCTATTCTCAATGAGCTAGTAGCCTAGAAACACAACAGTTAAAGAACTGAGCCTCACAAACCATGGTTAACTTTTTTATTAACTGTTTCTGATGGAACAGTCTTCCTAATTTTGTTCCTTCAAAGAGAGCATTGTTTTCCATATACTTGTTTCCATTACAATTTTTACTTTGAAAACGGCCTTTTATGTTACACTATCAGCACTGGAGACCATAAAAATGGTACTGCATCTGCTCACTGACCCTTTCTGCAGCTAAAGCACTCTTCATTATTCCGTAGTGCCTTATAAACTTCTACATGGCGAAGAGGAGCCTAATGCTACCCAGAGTCAGAAAGACAGACAAATAATGGGTTTATACTCCATTCATATTACAAAGGTAAAAAGTAGGTTAGGTTTACTACAGACTGGTAACACTGAAATTTAATTTAAAAAGTCTTCCCGTTCTGCCCAAATAAATAAATTTAAGTTTTACTTTATCAGAATGAGTTTGATCCCAGCATACACCAGTTTTATAATCTTGATATTAGGATAATAACATGTGGTTAATGGTGGACTTAAAAACGTTATTTCTTTGAACAGCTGCACTGACTCTCACAGATAGAAACTGGGCATTTCTATCAGCAACAAAGGGCCCAGTGAAGTTCTGCACACACCATAGACTCATCCTATATGAAGAGTTTCATCACTTCAAAGATTAATAGTGGTCTCCACACAGTGGATCTATAAAAACTCTGTTGTTCTTCGAAACTAAAGCAATGGAAGAAAATCAAGCAGCTTCAACTTGCTTCTTGCAAGGCACCCTTTCATTTGCCCATGAATGGTAACATTAAAAAAAATAAGAAAGCCTAAACTAGTAACTCTAAGAGGCGTGCACAGCAAATATAATTAGTCTTAAGACTTCTGAAGAATTGCACTTTCTACAGCATTTCAACTTGTTGCCCACATGCCATGGTTATATCACAGGAGATACTGACAAACATGCATTGCCTCATATCACTCATTGACATCAAATGCTTGAAGTCTCTCTTACTTCAGGTATTCTTTTTTCTCCTCAGTAAGAACTGCTAAACGCTTCAGCCACAAGTCACATTCATCGAGCTGTACGTCGTCTAAATTTTTTTCCATTGGTTCCTTTGAACAATAGACTTTGACTGCATTTTAACTCTGGTCTTCCTGGCAGAACGGTTCACAAATATTCTTCTGGCAGACAGTTGTCAGCTGACCTAGATCCTATGCTTTCACTGTCTCTGTACCCAAACCCGTAGCAATTATCTGTTCTCCCCTATGCCTGAAAACACATTGATGTGTGTACGTTGTAGAAGTAGCTTTTATATAAAGGATGCTATCCATCATGATGGATACAAGCTTTCCTCGTTCATATACAATTCACGCTGTATTGAAATTGCAAGCATCGTTAGAAATTGCTTTTCAATGGCTGATTCTGTTGAGGTAAAGTGATATGAAACAGCTAATTGGCCCGTGCAATGCAAGGAAAACTTGCACATACTTCCACATAAGGTTAAAGACCAGCGTAGTAAAACTCATATGTGTTTCAGCTCATCTGGTTTTATTATATAGCACTACCTTACTACTGTAACACACACTCAAGACACTTAATAGAAAATAAATATAGCACATCACGATTCCAAACTAATGACTGATTTATATGTGGGATCAAATTCAGGTTCCCGTCTGATCCCTAAATCTCCTGTCAATACTTAGATTACATATGCTGGCAATTCACCGGTGTTTGAGCTGTTTTTAATGTTTTACTATTAAGTGCAATTGGTAATGTTTTAAATAGAAATATGAACTATATTTTTTCTTTAAAAGACTCCACATATTAGCAAAGAAGAAACACTGATTTACAACTATTTCACTTACATACCTGATTTTTTCCCCTAGCTTCCAGGTCCACAAACTAATATTAAACCCCATTTTTCTTAAGTGAATTTGTTAAAATTCTGGAAAAGTTTAAATTGATAGAAGCCAGATAGCTATTGCCAAGAATATCTCACCTGTGGGTTATCCATGTACCACACCAGACTGTCTTCTCTTGTGTCCAGAATGAAGTACCGCCGCAGAAATTTCCCGCTATTCTCATTTTCTTCAATATCTAGGAAACCACAAATGCGATTCTGACGATCCACATAAGGCATTTCTGACCCTGAACATCACACTGCAGAACAAAAAGCACAGAAGTTAAGCAAAGTTCCTTGTTACTAATTTTAAGACTGTTCTGTGCCTACCCATGACATTTTGAGCAGTTTCAACTAGTAGCTTAAAGAAGTTTCTACAGAAGAATAAGTGAAGCGTAGCCGTTTCCCCCCACTACCACTGAATTTTTGGCAGGTCTTTCTTAATTCTCTGAAGCCTATACTTCGGCTATCTAATACCCTAAGTGCAAAGCTACAAGTGGCAAACAGTAGATGAGCATCAAGACTAGCTTTTACAAGATCACTAAAGAATAATCAAAGATTCTCCTTCACAACTTGCACAAAGTTGAGATAATGCTGGGTTTACACTTCCTTCTTTGACATTGCCTTTCATGGTCAAGAAAGATCTTTGTCAGCAGCTCTACTGTCCAACGTGATTTTTCATATTTTGCTTAAGCAAATTCAACAAAAAGGCTTTTAGAAACATTGTTTGCATTTTTGTCTCCTACAAAAAGAACTTCATGTGTAACAATGTCTAAGAACAGACATCCTTTCATGCTTATACATTAAATACTCAAAATGAAGTTGCATGTGCAGCAATAGAGATGTGGACACACTTGCTAGTCCAGAACTGAAATCCTCAATATCCACGTGGCACTAAGTTTGAGGGTAGTGGGCTTTTTTTTTTTTAGTTTGGTTTTGGGATTTTTTTTTTGGCCTTTTTTTGTTTTACTTTAAAAAATAAATAAATAAAAATCTGTACTGTTGACCACCTATTCCCATTTTGCCTGCTTCACCTTTTATGGCTCTGTCTTACTGCAGGCTATTGCATCATTCTTTTTGCTTCCTTTTATTTTATGGGACAGTCATTTTACTTTAAGAGCCAGCCTTGTAAGACCAAAGATAAATTTGCATACTAATCTAAAAATGGCAATAAACCAACATTTAAATAATATAAAAGTCAGATTGATGCCAATCTTCCCCAAACCAGGGAAGAAACAGTTCAGTCCTCTTTACATTTTGTTACTAAACTCAGAAATATTACATGTCCAAAAATACTAATATGAGATGCAGAAGGTTTAAGTGCTTCACACTTTTCATAACATCTTCCAGCTTTCACTGTGTAATATGGAAGTTTCTTTTCAATATTTCTTGAAATTGTTTACCTTTACTACTTCTTTCCTTAAAGTTATTTGATTTAAATATATTTATAACACACACAGTGAGGCAGACACCTGATAACTATCTGTCGCTAGCTATTGATACACCACTGTAAAACATGATATACGGTTAAGAACATTTTTAAGCGTTTATTTTGGGGAATCAGATGTACAGATAAGGATATACTTATTTTGGGGGCTCAGATACACAAATATGCAGACATATGCTTGTATTTACAGCTATCTTTTTATATGACTAATTAGAATATAGTAAAATTTTGCTTCAACCACTTTAAGAAACAATTTTTTTTACAAAGTCTATTACCACAATTCTGATACCATATTAGAAAAAATTCTAGTAAACTGTTTTAAGGGACCAGATCTAACAATCTCAATTCAGCATCATTTGCAAAAAGTTTGCAAGCAGTATTTGCAGAAAAAGAGACTGCAGTATTATGGTGATGATGGACTACTAAAAATTTCGGTAGTTTGAATTTTTTAATGTAAGCTATTAATTCCAAAATTAAATGCATTTTTGTGTATAACAAAGTTCACACACTTCTGTTTGAGATGCATGATGTTTTCTGTATAGCTACAAGGATATCATATGTGTATACGCCTTCAATTAAGCACTTGACTGATTTTTTCTTTTCTTTCCACCTCCAAAAGTGCCTCCATATTTAAGGTATGCAATGACAGTTTAACTCTTCAAAGGCATAGGCTTGTTCTTCAATAAAGTAACAAAATTTACTACTGCAATCTAAATTTTCTTGGTATGTTCCTCAATTTAAATATCACAGATCCAAGACAAGTTCTGTAACTGAGTTACAGTTGTAAGAGCAAAACCAAACACTTGAGCACTCTTAAGACAATGTCATAATCGTAACAAACATTCATAAGTAATTCCCATACGGGCTCTTGGGATCACTTTACACTGAAGCAACATCTCTCTATAAACACATCTGTAGCCAGGGGCAAGCTTAAGGGGAGCTATCCTCTAAATTATACCTCTAACTAGACAGAACTTGGCATCCCACATGGTTTTCACTTAAATGAATTAAAATATCTGTTATTTACCAGTACTGTCCTCAATTGTGCCAGGTGGTCCCTCAACAAAACATACAGTACTTCCGGGACACAATTTCAGCTTAATATCAACAGTTTATGAAGCCCAGAAAAGCCTTGTGCCTAAAAAAAGCAAATATTGGTAGCTGGTTTCCTGTTTGAACAGGCTTAAGCTGCATTCTGTGCAGATGTGAAGAAAACCAGGCAAGGAAAACTTGTTTATGAAACAAGATACAAATTGATTAGGAGTCCTTGAATAAAACTGACCAAACGTTAAAGCATCTGTCTTTCAAAAAACCTTTATGAAAAAGGAAAGAAGGATACTCGTAATACTCCGTTATGAGCATACAATTAGCTAAAGCTGAACTATTCCAATACAGTTTTTTTTTTTTCCCAGGGCAAAAGACAAAATTCAAAAGCTTTCTCTTATTTATCAATAAATCAATTTTCACATAAAAAAAAGCCCTAAATTCATACAGACTTTCTATTTCAAAGTACTACTAGGTAATTTCCACCCTACAAAATAATACTATTTGCAGTTCCTTTGTCCTCTGATGAAAATACAGGATAAACTATCATTAACTAAAAAACTTAAGTTGTATAACTTCCGTTTTCTTCAGATTAGTTTGAAATTTCTTACAAGATTACTGACATCTACCAGACTGATGCTCTTAAAGAATAAAAGATTAAAAAAAACCCTCTTAAAAAATTGAAATCAAACATGAAATCATGCAATTGTCTTCCAGTTTTAAAAGTCTGTTTCCATCACATTAAGCCTTGGCAAGATTCCACTGTAAATTAATACCTATTTTTTGCAGCATTCATTAATGAACCATTTGTAGTGCACATTTAAAAAAAAATAAATCCATTTGTGCCTTTCTTCTAGTTACTAAAGCAACCAAATACACATGACAAAACCATCACTGTGACACCCTTCCTGGCAACTCTAGACTGACCAAAAAACCAAAGACGGAATTACCACATTATTTCTAAAGATTCATAAAAGGAATTGCAGAAGTCCAACATTAATCCTTCAGCGTAGGAAATCTGATTGGAAGACCACCAGTCTAAAAATTAACCAGAACTTCAACTTAAAAGTGTATTCAGTGTCTTAGATAGATATGACTTATTTTTCAGGAAATTGTTATTTCAGGCGATTATAAAACAAAAATCTCCAAGTCTGTGAATATTTTACACACTTAGTTATTTTCTGCAGCGGACTCTGCAGCAGAGAACAGTGTAATAACTCTTCCGCCCATTTTTAGAATCAGATATTATAAAAGGATTGTGAGTTCTGAGAGAGAAAAGCTGAAGGCAAACCTATAGCAGATTACGTACAACTTCATTTTACTTTGCCTTCCCTCCCTTGAGTGGGGGGGGGCAAGGGAGGGAGGAGACATGGGTCGATGACATAGCACTACTTAGAAAAAATACCACTGTGGCCTGTTTCGTCTCGGTTCTCCCCATAATCCACCACCATCTAAAATATTTTTGAAAACCCATTTTGTGGTGTACATTGACACTCATATGTAAGAATTCAGAAAACTCTCAGTGCCTTAAAATTCATTCTCAGAGGGTTGCGTTATAACCCAAACAGGACGTCTCACTTATTTTTGAAGTCTTACATCCCTCTTTCCAGTGGCTGTGTACTAATTTAAGTAGGTACATACCTCATCAGCCCAGCTTCTCTCAGATTTCCCCTCTCACCGCTCTTTTCCTCTCGGGTATACCATATACCAATATTCCTCAACATTTATATCACAAACTGAAGGCTGCCCGGCCTCCTGGGCACTGCTATAAATAAAAGTCACAGATCACCTTCTCCCAGTCTATAACTAAATGCACGACTGCACAACTAGAACCTGCAGAGGCACACGAGTGTCTCGTTTTCAGCATTTATAACAGACTGCTTCAGCTCTCCTTCATTAATTTGTATTTTTAGTTTCACACCAGCACCTGCTCTTGAGTTCACCTCCTTTACAGTTTGGTTGCAGCCTCTGTATCTTCAAGTACAAAATCTATACAAGACCATTAAAGCTGCATGCAAGGTAACGTTTCTATGGCCCAGTCTCTCCTTTGGCAGCTAATTCTTGATTTCCACAGGCAGGGATAAGCCACGGGCCACTGGCTTACTAGAGAAAGTGGAACTTCATATGAATAAAAAGACCTTGCAATAGGCTTTGGACTATCCACATGAAAGCTTGATTAAGAAATACAAGATGAGCTGGCTTCTTAATATCTTTTAGCTTTATTTCACATGTCTCTTCCTCAAACTTTGTGTATAAATTTATTATTGTTTTCCTTTCTTTAACTTAGAGTAACATTTCTACTTCCTGCTGTATTAGTGTATGGACATTTTGAACTTCGGATTTAACTTACCACAAGAGATGGATGACTTGGGGGTTCTTTTTCTATTAGCTAAGATTAAGAAACATAAATTACCTACTTACTCATCTCTATGAAATGATTAACAACATTCATAAAACTATACCTGATAAATATAAAATGATGCCATGAGTCATGCCCATCCCTCCTCCCCACCCCGCTTTTTAAGCTCTGCTATTTGCACTAGCTCCATCGCTGCAAAGGGAAGGTAAGCGGCATCCCCAGCAATCTCATTTTCCCTGCAGGTCCAGGGACAGTTTAATTATTGAGTGCTCTTGCCTTTTGCCTAGGCAATTACTATCAGCTTCCTGCTGTAAATCAGCTACTCTCCAGTTGGTCATCTCTTTTACTGGCCATTTACTCCATTTACCAATTCCCAAGAGTAAAGGATGAGTTCAGACTGTCCT